GTGTAGCAGCGCAAGCGTCCATGAGACTGCGCGTAGGCTGTGTCACAGTTGTCACTCTGCCCCTTTTGTCCGGCCACATGTAAAGTAGAGACTCGACTGCAAACTGCATCGTCTGACAGCCACTCTGGCGCGGAGACTCAGCCACGACCTACGTGATAACGGATATCCCAAGCTATATATAACACGACATGCGCACGCAAAACCCTAGGAGAAACCATCAACTGACGTTCCTAAGAAAGTGAGAGCATTAGCCAGCACACGAATTTAGTCAATAAATCATTACATGATACATACATTTATAGATTATCAATGTAAAGCCTAGATTTGTCAGCGAAGTTGATGTTCGAAGCGCCTGCCGGCGTTTTACCTACGGTGCGACATTCGTCTGATGACGTTTGCTAGCACTTTCTCCAAACTACTAACTGGGATCCCGGAATATTCGTGCGGAATGCTCTGCTTCAACTCCAAAAGGGAGTACGGCTTCCTGTTGTAAACTCGCTGTTTCAAGTAACCCCAGAGGAAGAAATCCAATGTGTTCAAATCTGGTGACCGAGCAGGCCAATCTGTAGGTAAACCCCACCCGATTCAACGGCAAGCGAACGTCTGGTTGAGAAAATCCCGCACCGTTCGTGCATAGTGTGTAGGTGCGCTATCTTATTATAACCAGACCGTAATTAATAACCCAGCAGTTCCCACTTCCGGAATGACACCATTTTGCAGTACTTCCTTGTACGAGGGTACTAGAAAGCGTAAGGCATTAGTACTGCGAAACAACGACCTACCGGTCGCATTACCGGAAAACAAAAATGGTCCCACGATTCTTTGGCAAGTTACCATGAACATTGCGCCATGTTGTATACATGAGGCGCTGCATCGGCTTGGATTACAAATTGCCCAAAATTGTTTCTTCTGCGCACCGTGCAAACGGAAAACAGCCTCATCGGTAGAAGGATTTGAATGGATGTCCATGACATACAAAAACCTGAGGCGAAATCAAGCCGCTTCTCCGAATCACATGGGTTTAAAACCTGTACTTGACGGGCGCTATACTTTCGGAATTTCCTTTCCTTCAAAATCCTATGGACAGCATATCTGGTGGTGTCGCAATGCTGGGCGAGTTTACGAGTTCTCAGATCACAGCTTCTGGATACCTCGCGAATAATCACACAAGCAGAAAAGTCATCCGTGGTGATGCGAGACAACCCTGTCTTTTTGGCGTCGCAAACGCTCCCAGTTTTTTTCAAATTTTCTCACCCGCACGCCTCATACAGACGAAAAATAAGCACTCGCTGATTAAGGGTAACTTGGTGACAGCGGTATATGCTCGTGATCCATCGCCCAGCCAGTAATCCGATAAACAAATGGCAAGAATTTCATCACCTCGCCTAGTCATAACCTGACTGCTCTCTCTCTCTCTGTGTGTGTGTGTGTGTGTGTACTTTGTGACCAGCTTTGCCCTACACTGGTGAGGTCAGCGCTCGTTGCCTTCACACTGACCTCAGTTAGTGGTTTGCCTTTAAGTCCGCAGTCGTATCGGAGTCAGGTTATCGTGTGCTTTGGCTAATGAGTTCGGCTGAGTCTCCGCGCCAAAGTGGCTGTCAGACGATGCAGTTTGCAGTCGGGTCTCCACTTCACATGTGGCCAGACAAAAGGACAAAGAGACAACTGTGACACAGCCTACGCGCAGTCTTCTGGACGCTTGCGCTGCTACACAGCGTGCGGATTAGACGGGTTCAGTTTAGAGAGAACGCGTCGGGTTTCTTTCAGGCGCTCATTGAATCAACAGTCAGGGGTCTCACTGGAGCTTAGTTTCAGACTGCCTGTACATTCTAGATTCTAGGAGAAGAAGTGCATTGATGTAGCGAGCGTCAGCGCTGCGATTTGCCGAGAGGATGCGTGCGACGGAATGACAATGGAGGGTGGGGAGCAATAAAGCAAGAACGGATATCTCGCAATCTACCGACAATTACATTGTATTTAAACAACAATAGTTATCTTACTAGATATTTCCATTTCCTTTACATCCTGATCCTGTGTTTGCTGTTCCCGAATTTGTCCTTAGGACTGAAACCATTTGCGGTTATGTTGGGCTGAGTACTTGCGTAGGGTCTGGGCATATTCCTTTTTCCAAAATGGGAAATATCATGTCAAGTTGCATTCAGTGAAATGCTGATTAAGTCTGCTTAAGTCACCTTTCAAACGACGGCGCGGACAAACCTTAGCTGCTTTGCTTCTCAAGCGAATCCATATTAATTACATATGTCTATGCGGAGTGTGGTATGGGACGCCTACACATTGATAGACGGTGCTTGTTACCGCACAATCAAGGACCGATATCACTTGACAGCATTATTGAGACTGTCCATATCTGATTGGCTACAACCTGATGAAAATTAGCCGGTCCTTTACGTGGCCTATCCAATAAACCGTCAGCCAGATGCACTGGTCTCGTCCTCCTAGAATGCATTCTTAATAGATTCTACTGATGTGTCCAGGCAGCTTTAAGATTTCGAGTTCACTATAAAGCTTCGTGCATGTTGTTTGCATTGAAGGCAACGACAAATTGCCATTGCGTTTTTGGAACCCATCTGAAATTCAGTGGCCTTGTTTTGGTCGTTACTTTAATACTTACCTATCATCCACTAAGCTCAAGTTTCAGTGTAACACGTCGTGCTAGCGTTTTACTGCATTTCACTCCCCACGGGTATCAGTTAATCTCCATAATGGATGTCCATGATTTTAAGGTGACCATTCACAATCGTTCGTACTACCTTAAACATGTTTTACTTCCACTCCAGCTCCACAATTAACCAACGTTAGTTTAAGCCAAGCGTTGCAAATATATATAAAACCGGAGAAGTCACATTCACCGCTGATACAAGACATGTATTTCTTGACATGACTGTAAAAGGAATAAAGATATCACATACGACATTATTACAACGTAACCTTATTCATGCCGTGATACCAAATTTTGCCCGCTTTAGACAACGGTTGTTATTTGGGATGTTTCAATGTAGGTTGTAGTGGTACAATACGTAGCTCAATCCTCGGAATAACCTTGACGACGAAAGTCCTTCACTTCCACCTTACGACCACAGCTATGTCGGTCTTTCCACTGTGACTACGAAAACTGACCACGCAATGCAAGAACAGCTGCGGATCATCCACTTTCGCTCTGCGGCCAAAGGCATTGCACGCCTGCCTCATAATCCGGAGGTCACCGGTTCGAAACCGCCGGGACGCGAATGACCTTGGGGTATCCCCAAACTACACCCGACTGGTGGTGCTCGCGTAGCAGCGAAGTGTCGGTACGGTGTTCTGGCGTACCGCTGATTCTTTTCTTTACATTAATATTACTATGATATACTCTGGGCGGGGCAATGATTACGCGCGTATACACCGACGAAGTAATCTAGTGTGTGCTGAAATTGTGTTCCTGGACCAGAGTTGATTTTTCCACTGGTTGCCACGGTGTTTGAATACCACACGAGCCTGTCACACGCATACCTGTTCCTGTTCTGTTTGTGTGTCGGCCGGTGGCCGAATGGTCTGCTCGCTTGGTTTGCAACCATAAGGTCACTGGTTCGAATCCGCGTAAGGGAAGGTGTCCTCGCGACATACTCAACCCGCGCGCGACTGGTGATGGTCGCGTGGCAGCGAAGCGGCATTGCGACATACAGCTAGCGATTTCTCTTATTTAATTTTGTTCGCATTCGCAACATACTATCGGGCAAGCAATTTATCATACTGCGGCAGTTCATAGATTTGAAACTCATTCAAACTTGCATTTCTTGGGTCAAGTTGTCGTCCATTAAGAGCCGATCTAATAATGACCTACACTATCCAAATCATGTGCAGCTCAACAGTAACAACAGTCTAAGGTGTAACTCCTTGAAAACGGAAAAATTGTACAGCAGCTCCGAATTAAGCAAAATTTCTATTCCGGTTCATATATGTCATTCCTGTAAAGCACGCTCAGTACCGGTTGCATCCGCACCGATGCTAACCATCTTTAAAGGGTAGTTGGATAACTATTCCGTCACCTACATTTTTATCCCTCCGTTACAAATGTGGGAAAAAGTTTGAATGAACTGTCCGCCACCCACTCGTGCTACGAAACTACGATGAGAGCAGAACTATTGGGTCACAAACACATAAAACGATTAGTTCTGCTTTTGCTAGTGAGGTGCTTTTTTAACATTTTTGATAACTGCACTAGACAAGACGACAGGGCTTGTAAAGTAATGCTTCTTAACTCATATGAAGGAATTTTTATTGTTTAACTCAAGCTTTGGAGCGAAACTGAGGCACATGGAAGTGATTGGCTATTACGTTATTCTGTGGGTTCTTGGCCGTGTAAAGTGTGCCCGATTTGTGCGTGGTTTTCAAACCAGGGACTTAAGACCGTTTTGGTGGGCAGTTATGCAGGCCGGTTGGTTGACCATTTCGTGGAATTAGTGTCTGGTAGCTAAACGCTATACCACTGGGGAAACTGTTCATGGGAACATTTAACCGTTCACTTATGCATGATATCTAAGTTTTGTCCTTTTTTTGCGCGACAAAGCTATGAACCGCTGACTCGTCTGGGACGTTAGACCAAGTGCTTCACTTTGACTTTAGCTGAGGCTACCAACTGAGGGTACCAACGGCTCTGATTGGTTACATTAGATCGGACTGCCTGTAGCTCGGGTTGGCGGTTGAACTAGTGCTTAGTTCTCCATGCTGGTCAATTTGGCCTCAGACGTTTAGCTACCAATCGGGATGGCATTCTTGTTTCGTGATAGTAAATAGTAAGTTAGCAGCTTCTGAGCCCCAAGCAATTCCAGAGATGAATCCTTCTGTCGGAATCTTATTTGAAATTCAGGTCGGTGCTGTTTCAACACTTGCTTAAAAGTTCGTCCTAAAGGGAAAAGCATCCAAGTTTTTCCCTTAACCTCAATCATATGAAAGAAACTCGATAAAAAAAGGTCGTGTCGTTGGATTCATCCTCGATAAGAATGTTGCTGCCATTGGCCGATACTCTCGCTATTCGTTCCGGCGTGCATGGCGTGTAGGTCAACTAATTCCGTTGACACATCAGCCATAATATTAACACATTATACGTTACTGCGTAACAGTACCGTAAACATATTCTGAATTGGTGAACCAATCCGTCTAGTCCGATTGCCGTATGTTATTTCATTTTCACAGCCGTGCATGAGGATACGAGGTCATTATAAGGCCATTGGTGCGACGCATCGAAGCGGAATTACCGGAGGCCACAGTCACCACGCGAGTCTCAGTACGGGGTAAGTAGCCCCCTGACACTATCCTCCCTTTTCCTATGTTAACCATAGATTCGTTGGAAATTAAGTACAACGGTTTCCTAATCTTTTCAAAACTGGAACTCGGTGGCTTCCCTAATATTGAACGGGTAAGTCCCATTCCAAGATCTGTATTTGACATCGGTTGATCTAACTTCCTTCAAAACAAATTCGCCTATGGCTCACCATATCGGTAATAACAATGACCGGAGATAAAACATCTAGCAATAGAACTTTCTTTTCATCCTGACTGAAACTACTTGTCACGAAGGCTGCGTAGTTACTTCCGTTTCCTGGAAATTAAATGTGGCGAATGGTACTGTAAAGTTGTACATTTCAAGATTTTTAAGTGCACGTTGACGTAATTACACATGCCAGCGCATACTGTTCGGGGTCTATGTTTCCTAGGCGGAGCCGCCTTTTTGAATATCCTAACAATAATAATAACTATATTTATTTTCAAGCGAGAGGCTGCGTTCATATTTGGCACAGGTCAAATATGTATAGTAGGTCCGGGATCTTACCATCTTTCCGCGCATTTGAGCCATGACCGGTACGCACTTAAGCGCATATAGGAAAGAACAGCGTCCGTAACGCTTGTCCGGCTATTCCATCAGCAATTTATGTTGGATAGAGCATGCCTGTGCCTGCGTTTGGGGGACACACAATCGTGTGCGAAGCCATAGATTTTGTTCTACCCCTTGCTGGCATGCTAGCAGTTTCTCTATCTAACATAAATTGCCGATTGAATAACCTGACAAGCGTTACGGACGCTGTTCTTTCCTATGTGTGCCTAACCGAGTACCGGTCGTGGTTCGAATGCGCGGAAAGGTGGTATCATATCGGACCTACTGTACAGGTAATACACCTCTTGCAAGAACCGTATGTATTTGTGGCGAATAAAAAATAAAAACAATTGCATATTTCTCTACGGTGCGATGCACAGCCTAGGGGATTCACAACGAGCAAACTTTTCGATTTCTCCAGAGCAGTTCTACAGCTATTGCTGGCGGACATGGCTACTTGATCGGATATTGTCAAAATAAAAATGTGAAATGCAAATGTTTTAGGGGAGTAATACGGCCATCCATGGGACCGTCTCCTGGGGACCTGTGTCCATGCGGTATATTCATTCCGTCAATGGGTTTCACCCGTACTTCCATGCCCCATCTGGCCCTATGCCGTGTGGCTTTTAAAGCAACTAAGCCAACACCTATTAACTCTTCTTTAAGAATGTTTTGATGTGTATGTAGTGTGGGCAGTCAAACCATTTAGTGTGTACCATCAATCAGATTTTTGTGTTAAGCACTTCCTCTCTAGGGAGCCAACGGCAATGCTCCTTGAAAAGGGATGATTATGAACGCTAGTAACTTCAATCCATCACCTCAAAAGGTCGACCCAGTCGTGGCCAATAGTGAAGTGAAGAAAAATATAATCTGTTCTGAGGTACAATGGTGGTAACAGTATTAATATCTGATAACGAAATGGCATGTTTCATTACTGTGCAATAAAGACCAATCGAATAAATGGTGCAGGAAAACACTCGAAACTAGTTGCCTGCTCGAAGTAGCTATGTGCAAGACAGTTCTGAAAAGAATTTCCAGGTTCATAATCAGTTGCATGCGTTCGTAAAATACAGAATTGGTTATCCTTGAACAGTGGAGACGCTCTCTGTTCCAGGGTCGTCACCTCCAAGAAAGAAAAAATACCTAACATTACAATATGAATATAAAAAAGAATCATAAGTAAACAAGTAACAGAATAGTTTATATATTGATAGCGCGAGACACGGACCATGTGGTTGACCCGATCACATTTGCAATTGGATCGTAAAGAAGAGTTTGGGTTCAAGCTGTTCGTAAGAAAAGTGGTTGCGAGTCGATGCTTCTGTGGTTTAATTATTTGGAGCAGCCGATGTATGTAGGACTTGATATACAAGGTGTGCTAGAGGTGGGTTGACTTTGAATCAGATAATTTTGTCATTTGCTATATGGCACTCGGCCCTTCCTTATACAACGTGGTTATACTCACGCCTAGGTTGAGCATGTACATTACAGTGTAGTAGTGCACACTTTCGCCAGAGATGCGTGCTGCAATGTTGATGCAAACCAGCATTGGTGCTGAAGTATTAGAAACCACCTCCTACTTCTGCTACCTTTGGAGTGCAGTTTCGACTGATCAACAGCTACACGGTGAGCTTGTAGTGGATTAAAGGTAGGTACTACTGTGCCGGGTATAAGTAGTGTGATGGTGCAAGATGACACACCAACAGCGAGCCCTGCCGACTTCCCCAAAGTTGAAGATGACATCAAGATTACAGTTCCATGTGCACGAGGAGTAAACACAGAGGCAAGCATTAGTTGGGGAACACTCCATGGAGATCACGCAGACGAGCGGACGCCTCCAATGTATGAACGAACACACCTAGTGTAAGCCACTTTAGCAATAAAAAATTACCGCCTGCCACTTGGGTTCTAACATTTGGTGCCGTGACCTCGCAAGTCATGAAGATCCCTGGCCGGAACCATTTGAAGACGGGGATGGGAATTCGTTTTTGGAGGATTTCCAGGAGGTGGTGGAGGTGGTAGGACTGATGACGGACCGGGCGAAGATGACGTCCCGGCGGAGTCTCCTCAAGGGCAGGGCGAAGGCAGTTCTGGAGGCGGCGCGAAGAAGTCAGGTCAAGTTGGAGTGGACCACCGCGAAGGAAGCGTTGCTCTCTGGCCTGGACACACCAGCGTACCGCCAGGACGCGATGCGACGGTTCAAGGCGTCGCGGCTGGGTGCTGGGACGGATCCCCTCGTGTTTGCGGTGCACCTCAGGAGCTTGTTGGACCGCGCCTTGCCGGGGTTGGATGGGCCGTCAAAGACGCAGTTGCTGGTGGATCAGTTTTTGGCCGGCATCCCACAGCTAACCGCGGAGCGCGTTCGGATTGCGGATGCTACCCGGAAGATGCAATTGGAGGAGCTGGCGCAAGTTACTCGGGACCTGGGCGAAGCACCACTTGCTGCGCTGAAGGAAGAGCCTTATGAGATTGTAGAACGGATGGACAAATTGGAACGGATGATGGAACAGCTTACGGAAGACATCAATGGGCTTCGAGTTCGGCGTTATCGGGTGCGCACAAAGGGATGTTGCTTCATCTGCAGGAAACCGGGGCACTGGAAAAGACAGTGTCCGCAGAGGCGTAGTGTTACTCGTGCGACGAATAAACGTGTGCAATCTTATTTTTCTTTTCGGATCGAGGATTGTGTACTTAGGGCGTTGAGCAGGAGTGCAGTTGAAGCAATGGTGGAAGTAGATGGAACGATGGAAAAGTGTCTGATCGATACGGGTGCCGTGGTGTCACTAATCAATCATCGGCGAAATGAAAAGCTTCAGTCGTGCTGCTGAATAGACGGTGCAGCTCCTGTCATCGTCTGGGTGGTACTAATGTTCTTCTCCTTCTCTGACACCATGTGAAAAGTCGGTCCTTCAGGGACAAAACGTATATTCTGCAAACAACGGACCAGGCGAAAACGCAGGCAGAGGGCGAGTGAAACATATCGGTATATACAGCTAGTTGGATCCATAATTAACGACCTTTGTGAATGCATGACATTTTTCCTTTGATTCAGTCAAACAAACTCACTCCAATGCGTCCAACTGTTGGCCAATCAGCGTGCATGCGAGAAACGTGTGAACGTCCAATTAGCTGCCGCCTTTCCTTGCGGCAGCCTAACGGCTTCCTTGCTGGGTTGGCACCGCACGTTCGTTCGAGTGTATACTCCCATCACATCCTCCCTTTTTCATGTTCTTGCTGCTGTACTTTGCTAAATAGTCCATACACTTTACCACTCCGCGTCCTCTTTGTTGGATCTGCCGATGTCGCCTCATTGCCGCACGCAGTATAACGCTCTCTCCCTGATTCATGCTGTCGCCTCGGACATCTCCTCAGCTGTACTCGGTTTCTTCTCAGCTTCTTCCCTCCAACATTTACTTCGTATGACCTTTCACCGACTTTCGCAGCCACGACTCCTTTTCTCCACCGCTCCTGTCCATCGGGAATTGGTTCAACCCATACTTCTTCCCCCACTGTCAGCTCAGGTAATTCCCGTGCGCCGTTGTCGTAGTACCGTTTCTGAGTAGCCATTCGCCTTTTCAAACTGTTCTGTACTTTCTCAAGTTGTGGCGTGACAGGGCGCAGAAGTCTTGAGGATGCAGGCATCACAGTTCTGGTCCTTCGACTGTATAGGCGCTGCACTGGGCTCAGGCCGATATCCGTTGAAGGAGTGTTGCGACTCTCCAGTAGCATGAGGTATGGGTCCTCCCGAGTATATCTAGCCTTCGCTAATAGTCGCTTGGCTTGCTTCACTGCCGACTCTGCCTTCCCATTTGATTGACTGTGATAGGGACTGGTTTGCCGGTGTGCGAATTCCCATTTGGTTGCGAAAGCCTGGAATGCCCTGCTGCTGAACTGGGGACCGTTGTCCGAGACTAGCTCCTCCGGTATCCCGTGCCGTGCGAATTGACATCTGAGTTTGTTGATTACTGCCTCCGTGGTCGTGGTGGTGAGTAAATCGATTTCAAAGTAATCACTATAGTAGTCCACCGTGAGTAAGTAATCCTTTCCGTTGTCCCAGAATAGATCCACTGCTACCTTTTGCCACGGTCGGTCCGGAACATCATGCAGCATCATCGGTTCCTTCGTTTGCCGAATGTCGTGTGAACGGCACGCCTCACAGTTAGACACATGATCCTTGATCTGACCTGTCATTCCTGGCCAGAACATCAGTTCTCTTGCTCGATTAATGGTGTAATTTGCACCCAGGTGAGCGCGATGGACATGCTCCAGCATCTCCTTTCGGAGAGAAGAAGGGATTAGGATTCGACTTCCCTTGAACAACAGACCGTCACAGACAGTGAGTTCGTCCCGAAAATTGAAGTAGGGTGTTAATTCCTTCGGGAGCTGCTTCTTTGTTTCTGGCCACCCATTGAGGATAACGTCTCGCAAAGCTGCAAAAGTTTGGTCTTCCTCCGTGAAACGCCTTATGTCTTTCAAACGGTTTTCTGTCACTGCCAGATGCTGCACCATGCTAACTGTCTCGATCTCTTCTAGATGATGTTCGG